TCTGGGAAAAGAGACACTCTTCTGTGGATCAGGATTCTGTTGTGCTGCCTACAACTGTCTGCGAGTGATCAAGCCAGCTTGGAGATCTTGGATTCGTCATTCGTTGGAGTCAACAGCTAGTATACTGCCTACCAACCTTGAGCTCCAGCATCCTTGAAGACTGCTGTGATTGCTATCCTAAGTAAGCCAGATTTGACAGTGGGAACTGCCCTAATTGAACTAAGACACTTAACTATGATGGGCCTGATTGGACCCTGTGGTAGTAGGGGCCAAGTGGCAGCAGTTAATCAACAAAGGCAAGGTGGGCGTGGTACCATAATGGACAGCAGAATCGGAACAGTAATCAGAATAGTCTGACTCGTGTGGAATTATGGCATTGGCTACTTGCACATGGTGTTCCTGGTAGTGAAATACACGGCAAGTACTAAGTATGGATTCTTCACTCAATGTGGACTTGAATTAATGGCCTGTCGTGTGGTTTGGTAACATCAGGACTGTTCCTTTTTACTTGTCAGCCTTGGGTTTGTCAGCCTTAGCAGCCTGCAGCTAGCTTTCTGAGTGAAGAAACACCTCTAGCTCCAGTGGGCCAGGAGCAGAAGACAGAGCTGGACCCCAAGGTTGAGGGGCTTCCACCCAGCCCCTAGAGCCTGGCACTTTGAACTTGGACTTAAAGCCTCCCAACTGTAAGAGAATAAATTCTTGTTTGTTAAGGCCATCCCATTTGTGGTATATATTCCTGTCAGAGCTGCACCAGGTAACCAGGACAGAATTTGGTACCGAGAGTGGGGTACTGCTCTGACAGATACCTAAAATGTGGAAACAGGGGTGGAGTGTGTCCTTGACCCAAGACCCTGGCAGAGAGACCCCAGCATATGGCATGAGAGACAACTGGAGCACAGCCAAGAGACCGGCATGAGACGGCAGTAGCAGAGCCCAGAGACTGGCATTAAACAACAGGCTTACCAGCCCACAGAGGAGAAAGCCGGTGCCACTGGGTAGACGGTTTCCTTGTGGAGTGGGTCACCTTCGGGCCTTAATTGGTACAAAAGACCAGCCTAAAATGGAGTAGCAGGTGGGCTGGGCCACAGAGCAAGAAAGCTGAATGCTTTGGGGGCAGAAAGATTTCCACCAGAGTAGGTTGCCTTTGGCATTAATCAGCAGAAGCAGAGAGACCAAGGAAATGGAAGCAGAGCTGCCTCAGCCTGAAAGGGTAGGACCATGGCCTTTGGAGGTGGAACCACCACAGCCCCCTAGGTTTCAGAGTGAGACCTTCACCAACATGGTTCTTGAGTATGGGGCTGGTTGTTCATGTGAGCTAGTGAGATAGAGCCATAGCTGCTGCCCAAGAGTGACAGAGCAGGGCTGCCATGCCCAAGAGGGAGAGGAATGGAGCCCGCCAGGCCAAGGGGGAGAGGTCGCTACTCAGGAACTAGGGGACTGGAGCCACCCAGTGGAGGAGACCTGTACAGATACCACCCATTGAAGATCTGTACAGGTGCAAAGTTAACAAGGGGTGGAATTGTGGTGGTTATGTTTTCTGTCAACTTGGCTGGGCCTAGTTGAGTGGCTGGGCAGCTGGATGCAGTATTCCCCATGATGAGACTGGTAATCAACTCCATGGTGGAATCTACTGCAAGCAGCTGAGTATGTGGGTATGTGGTCTGCTTCCCGTATATAAGCAGCAGCTTTGGAAATGGTCTCTAGCTTATGGCACACTTGGACCCTGCATGTAGCTGTGTCATTGTTCAGTAGCGTGCCATCCTCTGCCATCCTTGGGACTTACAATGGACATAAATTAATGGCCTGCCATGGGGTTTGGTAACATCGGGAGTGTGCTTTTTTACTTGTCAACCTCGGGTTGTCAGCCTCAGCAGCCAATAGCTGTCTGAGTGAAGAAACGCCTCTAGCTCCAGTGGGCCAGGAGCAGGAGGCAGAGCTGCAACCCAAGGTTGAGGGGCTTTCACCCAGCCCCTACAGCCTGGCACTCTGAACTTGGACTTAAAGCCTCCAAACTGTAAGAGAATAAACTCCTGTTTGTTAAGGCCATCCCATTTGTGGTATATTTCTGTCAGAATAGTACTAGGTTACCAGAACATCCGACATCCTGCAACCAGGCATTTGTTTAAACTCACACCCTGGGATCCTAAGACAGGAATTGTTTAGATTTGGGAGGGAGGGAAGAGGAAGACCAGCACTATGTTCACACAACTGTCTGGTATTCATTCAACCACTATGCCCAGATACATTTGTTGTTCCTAGAGACAGTGTAAAACTTGTTCCAAATATGAACAGGTTGTGGAAAGCTCATTAATACACTGTGAAAATCCCCTCTTGCAGGAGTCACATACCCAGAGGAGAGGCCTTGTGCCAAGCACCACGAATGCTTGATGCTCTGCTCCTGGACAACGTCATACTCAAACACTGCTCTGATTTTAGGAAGAGGCTTCCCTAAAGCCCCTCATTAAACAAGAGTTAGGAGAAATTCTTTTCCAATCACAGTCGAGCAACTGCAACCTGAACAAGTTTATAAACTCCAGGCTTTTCTTTAATCTACTTGACTGCCAGAGATGTACAGGAATGGTTCTTCCTCTACTATGTTCATAAAATGAAAGAGTAACTTCAATGGCAATGTTCCTGAAGACCAAGAACATTTAAAATGTCCAACTGCAAAGGAGGAACTGCCAGATGACTGCTGACAGATTTGACTTCAATGTGCTTTCCACCAAACTGGAGTACTTTTAAGGAGCCCTGGTGGCACAGTGGTTAAACACTTGGCTGCTAACTCAAAGGCTGGCAGTTCAAACCCACCAGAAGGATGTAGCAATCTCCTTCTGTAAAGATTTATGGCCTTGGGAACCCTATGGGGGCATTTCTACTTTGTCCTAAAGGGTTGCTATCAGTCAGAACTGATTTGACAGCACTGGGTTGCCATATTGTTAATATTTACAATTTCTCCCCCAACTCAATTCAGATTTCCACTTTTTTATTTTTATTTTTATTGTGATTTGGGTGAAAATTTATAGAGCAAATTCACTTTCCATACAGCAGATCACATACACTTTGTCTCATGACATTGACCACAATTTAGCACAATGCAACATCTCTCCCACTTCCTCCCGATAGCTACCACTTCCCTGTGACCATCCCTCCATGCACTTCGACCCCCTGGGCTGTCTCCCCGTGCCAGAGTAGCCCTTCTTTCTCTCTTGCTTATCCTCTCCAAGGAGTGTATCTACCTCAGGTAAACGCTCAACTAGTATGTCTGTCTACTGCTTGGCTGGAAACTACAGGTGTGTATTCAATTCCAGACCTGAAGGGCAGCTAGGGGCCATAGTCTCAGTGGTTCCACCAGGCTCCATCGGGCCAGCAAACCTGTTCCCCGCTTTTCTTTTTCCCCCAGATGATTTTGAGTTTTGTTCTACATTGTTCCCCGTCTATCCAGGATCTCCTACAAAGATCCTCTTCCAAGTGGTTGACAGTAGTAGCTGAGCACCATCTATTTCTTCTGGTTTCATAGCCGTATAGGCTGCAGATCGGATGGTGTACCAGTCGCTAGGACTGATTGTTTCCTTGAATTTTTGGTTTTCTTCATTCTTCTTGGCCCTGGACAAGGAGAGACCCATCGTTGCATCTAGATGACAGCTTGCAAGCTTTTAAGATCTCAGTCACTATTAGCCACAGTAGAAGGTGGAACAATGATTTGTGTAGCATGTTATGCCAATTGAGCTTGATGTCCTCTGGGACTATGGTCCTGAGCCCACAGGTTCAACTACTTGGTCCCTCTGGGTAGCTGGCTGTGACCAAGCAGTGACTACAACCTTGCCCCTTGTCAGCCCCATTATACACCTGGGAATTCAGATCATACACATAAAGTTATTGGACAACTGTCTGCAGACCCTATACATGTTCTTGGGTGCACTCTCCACTTCATATAGATACCTAATATTTCAGCCTGTCTACCCATCTATCCACCCATATACTCATGTTTGCCTTCACTGACCATGCCGTATTATATGTGTAAAAGGGTTCATCTTTGTTGTCTGTACTTCCCACGTACCTCTCTATGTCTTTCTCTTCCTCAATACCACTATATTGATCATTCACATTTGGTACATTGCTTTTTTCTTCACCCAAATCAAAACTTCTCTCTATCTAACAGTATTCCCTCCCTGCCCCTCCCACCCCTGGTGACCAACAAAGAAAATGACCTTCCATAGATAAGTGTTTCCTTGACTATTACAATAACGGACCAATACAATATTTGTCCTTTTGTGATTGACTTATTTCACTCAGCATAATGTCCTCCAAGTTCATCCACGTTATGCGGTTTTGCAGATTCTACATTATTCTTTAGGGTTGCATAGTATTCCATTGTGTGTATGTACCATAGTTTGGATATCCATTCCTCAGTTGATGGACACCTAGGTTGTTTCCATCTTTTGGCTATTGTAGATAGTGCCGCGATGAACATGGTGTGCATATGTCTGTTCTTGTCATGGCTCTCACTTCTTTAGGATATACACCTAGTAATGGAATAGCTGGGTCAAATGGTATTTCTAGTTCCAACTTTTGAAGGAATCGCCATACTGCTCTCCACAATGGTTGTACCATTTTACAGTCCCACCAGCAGTGTATGAGAGTACCAATCTCTCCACATCCTCACCAGCATTTGGTATTTTCTGTCTTGTTGAACTTAGATTTCTACTCCTTTTGTGGAAGTGCTACTGTTAGATATCCAATTCTGTTTTCAATCTAGGTGACTGAATTCAGCTGCAGAACTTCTGACCTCAAGGACCCTTTTTATAGCCTCAGACTGAAACTGGATGTCTTTGTAGGGCATTTTCACTCAAGTGTTTTGTATGGCAAATGAACATGATGAAATAAATGAGGACACCACTACAAGATTTCAGTTAAATGTTCATTACATCCACCATTTTAGTCAGCCAAATAAGTAAAGGGAATCAAATCAAATGACACAGCTTGATGCTTATGTTAAATAATCTTGTAGAAAAAAATAGATTTATGTCACTTTATTCTTTTTGCATTCTGTACACTGACAGGTAAAACAAAATGATGAAACTAAAGTGTGAAGGAACTCTTTACAATTAAATTCAACAATTTTACACATTTATCTTACCCCCATTATCAGTGAAAAACCAACTACTGTGAAAACAGGACAAAGCATGTAACAAAAGAGCCAAAAAATAGAAAAAAACATTTTATAAAAAATATATCCAATTATGATTTCTCTCTTGGTGTCTTCACATCCTTCTCTTCTGTGTACTTATGTACAACACTGAAAAGAAAATATATAAATTGAAAAAAAATGCTCTGAAGTACCAGTGCAGCAAGTTTTGAAAGCAAGCAATTTTACCCTCTGCAAGTTTAAAAGGAATTTTCATACAAGACAGTAAATTCTAGATTCACTACTTTTAAGACTAGTTTTATGAATCTAGACCTGGGTTCAATGTGCTGCAGGACTGTGTTCTAGCCTTAACTATACAACTAACCGACTCTTCAAATTGTGGCCAGGAGGATAAAGACCCTGGAATCTTAGAATGCTTTGTAACTGTTGTCAGTTGCAGAGTCAGTTCCAAGTCATGGGTAAGACCGGTCCTGTGCCACCTTCACAATTGTTGGTATGCTCAAGTCAATTATGGAGGCCACTGTGTATTCTGAGTGATCTGCAACCTAGAGGACTCAAATCCCAGCACTACGTCAGAAAACTTTATGCTGTCATTCGTAGCATTTTCATGGGCTAATTCCCAGATGTAGATCACCAGGCCTTTCTTCCCAGTCTGTCTTACTCGGGAAGCTCTGCTGAAACCTGTCCACCACGGGTGACTCTGCTGGTGTGTGAAATACTGCTGGCATAGCTTCCAACATCATAGCAGCATGCAAGAACCATCATATGACAAATTGACAAATGGGTGGTGGGCTTCATAATTAGAAGCATAATAATTATGCTTTTAGGAAAGTAAATCTATCAGGCTAGATTTCAGATTAAGAATAAATATAGTTTTCATCTCACCAGTATAAACTCTAAAGTTGCTATTTACCTTTCTTAATTACAAAAGGATACACAAGAGCTATGGAAATTTTTCTAAAAAGCTACCAAAGTCCTTAATTGGAGTTCCCTATCAGGGTTCCAACATTTGGCGTCATTCAAATTTTGCTCAGCTAGTCCTCTCATAACCACCCAAATGGAACTCGTTAGGACATGAGGTATATAAGAAAAAAGACTAAATGAGATGACTAAGTCACTCTGGTCAAGCTTTCATCAGAGGTGTCCTGTCCCTTGTCCCTTCCCTACTCAGATTCTGACAAGTTTGTTGAAAATGAACATTGAGATAGATGTCTTGGTCAGAGAACACGGCACAGATTAATTAAGTCAGTCAGGAATTTGGGAGTGAATATAGGTATCTCAGAAGGAAAGTTGGCAATCTACTTCTGTAGTGATACTGCCTTGGAAACCCAAGGAGGGGTCACTAAGAGCCGGGTCTGACTCAATGGCACATAACAACAACAGCAAAGATAATTATGGAAATGTTATATGAAAGGAAGCATCAGAGGGCAATAAAACACCTTGGGAAAGGTGGGTAAGCCCTATACTGTACAAGTGAGAGGATATACCCTATAACCACTCACTGAACCTGCAACTGACTGTTGCTATCAGCTTTCTGGGAGCTCTGGTAGCATAGTGGCTAAGGCACTTGACTGCTAACCAGAAGGCTGGCGGTTCAAACCCACCAGCCACTCCTTGGAAGGAAGATGGGGCAATCTACTTCCGTAGTGATACTGCCTCAGAAACCCAAGGAGGGGTCGCTATGAGTCAGGTCCGACTCGACGGCACATAACAACAACAACAACATCAGCTTTCTAGAGACAAGATCATGTTTCTTAGTAAAAGGAGGAAATGTCAGATGAGAACAAAATGAAAAAGCACACATCAATACAAAATCTAAACTCAGATTCTTAGAGCTTCATTTGGGAGATGGGACCAAAACAGCAGACATAGGTCAAGAGATAATTCCCATAAATTTCATCTTTTTTCTCCCGCAACAATTCAAATATGACTTTATTGACCATTTGTGTCTTTACAAAAGACTCCATAAATAAAATCATAGCAACATATTAGCTTTTAAAAAGAATCTTATTTCCTATTTTGCCATTTTTGCAAGCCAAACTAAAGGGTATAAATCCACAAAAAAAGCATTTCATGTTTAACAGAGAAAGACAACCTAATTACCAAATTATACAAGCCAACTGTAGCAGAAAAATAGTGCCCATTCTTACAGCTCAAACTTCCAGACTGTGAGAGGGAGGGGATATGCGATGGGGGAAAAAACTGTTATTTCAGAAAATGGGGCTTTGGGGCAGTATACCAAAGTCCTTCAGCTCCCCATCAACAAAAGGAGAGAAGGAAAGAGTTCCTAGTTCCAAATTCTATGAAACATGTAAGAAGGAATTGCTCACATCAAAGATCTGAGATGTAAGCATTTAAAAACAAACAAGGAAAACAAAGCAAAACTGAAACCAAACTTTCAAATTTTCTAGAAAAATCTCTGGCGATCTGATTATAACTAAAAAACACTAGTTTGGATATTGTACAACTGTACAGTGAAAGGATATTACCGTTGTTTCCTCGGATAAATGCATCCCCATACTTATTCTTCAGTTGTCCATTTACATATTCTTCTGTCTGCTCCAGGGCTATATTCATGTAGCCATCCAGGCAAGCCAGGACCCCTGAAGAGACACAGTTAGTCAAAAAGAAGACAAACACAGCAAATAAGAGTTGAAAGTTACAGGGTATTCCTTAGAACTGACAACCTCTTTACATATTAGCTCTTACATACTTAATATAAAAATTCACTGTGTAAATGAAACTCAATAGACTGAATGAAGCACAGGAACATTTCTTTCCTCTACGCCAATCTGAATGAAGGCTGAGAAGCGTACACTGGGAAAGCAGTCATGCATCCACCACTACCAGGAAAAACAAATTGTCGCTTTCCTCAGCATATGTATAATAAGAGCAGCAACTTTTAAAGCCTTCACAAAAGTAACATTAATACAAATATCCCAACGAAAATACCATTCTTTGAAAGCTAGAAACAGGAGTGGGCAATTATACAGGAACAAATGACCATTATCTGAGACTCCTCTGTCCCCGTGGCACTTTTTTTTTTTAACTTTAGCTACTAAATGAAATATGGGTCTGGCAGATTTATTTCATTCTTTCACAACATCTACTGCAGCAGATGAATGTACTCCAGGGTTAAGAGGAAGTCTCCACAATCTGTTAAAATAATAGCAGAGGAGACAGCAGGTGCTCCTGAAAGAACATCTCAAAGCTGTGACTCATGGTGAAGAGCAGCTTGAGAATATAGGGCAACATATTGCATTATAACACATCTCATTCTGTTCTGTTACAGTTATAATGTTTTCAAATCAAAACTAATACAGAAAAATGGCTAAAAACATTCTAGGGAGCTTTCAAGGAAATTTTTCAAGTGAACCTTTTTAATTGTGCTAAGACAGTATAAATTTTGACCTTTTTTTTTTCAACAGATAGATAAAAAAATTTATATGCCTTCAACTCTGAGTCTCTAAAGTGTTATTTTTCTGGGGGTGGCGGGGGAAGCAAGTAAAACATATAGTATGGATTCCATTCAATTAACCAAGTCAATAGTTTCGTTTAAAGTCTTAACTTCGTTAATATGCTTCTCACTCTCTGCCTCTGCCCCCATTATCCTGTAAACAAAAAAGTTCCTTTTCAAAATTGTGAATGTGTGTAGTAAGAACACATGACATTAAACTAACAGAATTCTGTTAGAAGCTGTAAACTTTCAAAGAATCAGCGTTATGAACACTTAATAACAATTATTTCCTATTAAAAGAAAGCTTAAATACAACTTTAGCTTGTTTCCTGCTGTGTTATTTTACATCAAAACCACAAGCAGAAATAAGCAAGTAACTTGAGATGTGATATGCAAATTTCTTTGCAAATTAATCAAATGCATTTCAATATTAAATGTTCCTCTTCTAATCAAAATATCTCACAGAAAAGGTTAAAACAAAGAAAGAAAAAGAAAAAGAAAAGAAAAAAAAAAACCACCACCTGCCCAAGAGGTTAGAATTGAACTCCCTCCCTTCTCCATGGGATAAACATCCATAAATATATAAATCATTTTCCTCACATTTAAACAGAAAGTACGATAGAGATGTTTTTGTTTGTTTGAAAATTTAACCACAAAATAAAAGCATTTTTTATAGTAATGTTTTCTAATAGTGTAAAATACTTTGCTTTAATAGTACAGAAGCCATGAACAGATAATTCATAAAAGGAGAGAAACTATGGTTACTACTCATACTAATGGTTTGTCCACCTCACAAGAAATAGAAATAAAACGAGAGATTACTTGTTGCCAATTAGATTGAAGAAGTTCAGGGGGCCGTGAACTGTTGAGAGTAAAACGAATCTGCTTTGTAAATTTGCACACAAGTCACAATAAAAAATAAAATAAAATAAAAAAGCAGCAGCAGTATGGAGCGGAGGGGAGCTAATACAAGGATTAGTGAGAACATGGCAAAGGATGAATCTTCGACCTCTGGGGGAGGGCTATTTGGCATACTTTCTAACATAAGAAACCCTAGCTCAGGGAATTTATTTTAAAGAGATTATTTGGACAAGTGCCCAAAATATATGCCAAAGGATTGGGAAAAAAAAGAGAAGAAAAATTGGTATCTATCTATATGTCCATTAATAGGAAACTAGAGCTCTGGTAGCATAGTGGCTAAGGCACTTGACTGCTAACCAGAAGGCTGGCGGTTCAAACCCACCAGCCACTCCTCGGAAGGAAGGTTGGGCAATCCTACTTCCGTAGTGATACTGCCTTGGAAACCCAAGGAGGGGTCGCTATGAGTCAGGGCTGACTCGACGGCACATAACAACAATAACAACAACAACAACAAGTTAAAAACAAGAACAAAAATAAAACTGATTCATCCACACAATGGACCCCTTTCTACACAGTTATTAAAAGCTCTATATTGCATCATTTTAAGCCACTTGACTGCTAACCAGAAGGCTGGTGGTTCAAACCAACCAGCCACTACACGGAAGGAAGGTTGGGCAATCTACTCCCATAGTGATACGGCCTTGGAAACCCAAGGAGGAGTCACTATGAGACGGGTCCGACTCAACGGAACATAACAACAGCAACAATAAGTGTGAAGGAAAAAAAAAAAGAAACATGCTGCACAATAGTATGTAAAGAATGATCCCATTTATGTAAAAATTACGCTTATCTCTATCTGTATACAAAGTAGTTAAGGCTTATTATCTCTAGATAGAATTTTGAGAGATTTGGCTTTCTGCTACATGTTTTTCTCCATTATTTGCTTTGAGATTTCTTAAAAAAAAAAAAAAAAAAGTATCAGCTTTTTAAATAGAATTTTAGAGAAAAAAGATCAACTTGGTTCATCTCTTCACAGTAAGGTGGATACTGAGGAGATATTGAACACAATGTCCCCACTAATCAACAGGTAAATATTCCCAAATCTCTATACTATTATTATGTCTTCTGGACTCATCAAAAGTTCATGAATGAGATGCAGTACATAAATCCTGTACACTATCTCAGAATTCAATATAAATGTATCAGTTGTACTATTAAGATCAAATTGATCCGAAGATATGTTAAAGCCAAGAAACTAAAACAATACAAAAACAACAGAGTGGTTTCCAACAAGGCTTTGCAACCAAGCTTCAATTTTGAGTCCTAGCTCCTCCTCGTCAGATGGAAATAATACAACAGAGATTTAAAAGGATTTCTAGATTAAATAAAAATGCATGTGAAGTGATTAGCACACACTGGGTACATAGTAAGCTCTCAAAAAAATTATGTTTGCATATGTGTGAGAAGAGGGAAAAGTTCAAGAGATCATTAATATTAATTACTCAGAAAAGAGACTAAGAAGAGGCTACAAACCCTGCTAATAACATTGCTTATCTATACCTGTGAAACAGCTCAGGTAATTTAACATAATTTTTGTCAGATTAGGAATTTGGTAACCTTATAATGGAATGTGATACCATTCCAACCACAAAAGTTAATTTCAGAAGTGCCACAGGCTCTTAAAAAGAACATTCTCTGTAAGAACAAAGAAGCATCTTTAGACACCCCACATGTTGTATGAGTAGGAAGTTCACGTTCTAAATGATACTGTCTAAATAGCTGCATGCCATTCTTAAATACTTCTGCAAAAATAAATGTTGCTGTGCCAAGCTTTCTTCAGTCTCCAGTTATTAATGCCTGAGATGACTAGTATCCCTGGCTATTACCAAGGAACTTAAACACAGATGTATCAAAGCAGAGGCATGAGTCACATAAATCACACCACAGTCTATGCTGCCAGAGTTATCTCTAAAAGGGACCATCTCTGAGCTAGAAAGAGATGGGAACATAAACTGTTCATGAACAATGCTTTTTTGGTCTATCAGGTATGTTTCAGAGGTTAATAAAAATCAATTATGGAGTCACATTTCCTTATTTAGATAAAACAGTAAGGATGAAGCATGGAAATATTACCTCGATAATCCACTCCTGAATTTAATTTTACCACAACTGGTCGTCCTATGATTTGCTTTAAGAAGTCACTGGGGGTTTGTTTCCGCAGACTCATTTTAACAACCTTGATCGAAAATGCAAAAAGAAACAAAAAAAGTAAAGACAAAATTTAATTATTCAATAAAAGAGAGAAAGCTTTGAAATCTTTAACATATTTATAGAAAACCAAGTATCAAAGGACTACATATAAAGACTCAATTACTATCACTCCAATACTACTACTATCACTACAAGACAGTTTACATTTTTTTCAGCAGTTAACTATGAGTTCAGTTACTATGAGATACACTCAGCTGTTTTACATGCATTGTCTTACTCAGTTCCAATAACCTCATGCATAGCTCCACTACAAAAGTCACCATTCCTATGTCCAGAGTCCCTTGTTCTTAACCTGTTGTCACTACTGCCTCATACGCTGTCAGACACTACTGTCTCACACACACTTATACAACCCCCACCATCTCCACTATTTGGGCAATCTACTTCCATAAAGATTTACCACCTTGGAAACCCACTGGGGGTTGCTATGAGTCAAAATCGACTCGATGGCAGTCAGTTTGGTGTTTGGTTTGGTTTTATTTTTAAGCTAAGTACTCTTGCTAAGATTCTTTTTTTTTTTTTCTTTCAATTTTTATTGTGCTTTGGGTGCAAATTTACATAGCAAACTTGTTTTACACTCAACAGTTAATGCACATCTGATTTCATCGCCCCAATTACCAACCCCAACCGTAAAAAACTCTCCTCCTCTCTCCTCCATGACCACCCCTCTTGTGCCCTTCTCATCCATGCACTCCTGTCTGTCCAGCTTTCCCTGTATGAGTGCTACCCCTCTGGTATGTCTCACAGCTGACTGATCCAAGGGGTGCATCTCTCTAGAACAGGTGGGTGCATCAACCCGGGGTAGGTGTTCTGTATGTACATCTTTCTACCGTCAGGCTCAGAGCCAATCCACATAAGTGAGTCCATTCCTAGATCCGAAGGGTAAACCAGGGCCATATTCTCGGAGGTTCCACCAGTTTCTGACTAGCAATGCTGGTCATTTTTGTGTTTTTGAATTTTGTTGAACATTTTTCCTCCCACTCTATCCAGGAACTCCAGATTTGATCCCTTTCCGAATGGTTGGCATTGGTAACTAGGAATCATCTAGTTCTTGGTCTCGGGTCATCGGGGCTGAGGTCCTCGTGGTCCTTCTTATCTTTGGACTAATTGTTTCCAGATGACTTTGCTCTTCAATCTTCTTTGCTTCAGATGAATGGAGACCAATAGCTGTATCTTAGATGGCCACTCTAAAGCTTTCAAAACTCCAGTCACTACTCACCAAATCAGGTTGTAGAACAAAATTTTTATGAACTGTATGTGCCCAATGAGCATGATGTCTCCCAAGACTACAGTCCTGAGCCCCCAAGATTCTTGTAAACACTAATATAACTCCTACAATAACCCTGGGAATAAGGTCTTTTTTATCCTCATTTTGCTGATGAAAATGAAGGCACAGAAAGATGAAAGCACTTGCCCCAAAATGTGATGGAATCAACATTCAAGCTCAAACCAGTCCTACTCCAAAGTCCGTGTTATATAAACCCACTGCCATTGAGTTGATTCCAACTCAGCAACCTCCATTGGGTTTCCAAGGGTGTAAATCTTTATGGAAGTAGATTGTCTCCTATTCCTCCTGTGGGAGCAGCTGGTAGTTTTGAACCATGGACTGTCTTGTCAGCAGCCAAATGCTCACTACACTACAACTCCTAATGTTATGTAAAGTAAACATACTTATAAACTGATTTCTAATTATTGTCTCTGAAAATGATTATAATCAGAATCAAAAGCTGATATTTGAGAGTCTGCTACATGTTAGCACTTTTCTAAGTGCTTTACATGTATTAACCCATTTAAACCTCATGATCCTATGTAGTAGGTATGTTCCTATCCTTATTTTACAAATGAGGAGATCAATACAGAAAGGTTAAGCATCCTGCTCAAGGTTACACAGCTAGTAAGAGCACAGCTAGGACATGCTCTTAATACAGCTTTCTGAAAGCTGCTAATATAGTCAAGTCACTCATCTTGCTATATAATAGCTGTTTTTCTCTAAACATTTTTTGCAAACAAATCTAACAAAACTAGTTTTACTCTATTATAATTCGTTGTTAGGTGCTGTGGAGTCGTTTCCAACTCACAGAGACCCTAAGTACAAGAACACTAAGTACTAAGGAAACACTGCCACAATCCTTGCTATGCTTGGGTCCATTGTTGCAGCCACTGTGCCAATCTCATTGAGAGTCTTCCACTTTTTCAAGGACCCTCCACTTTACCAAGCATAATATCCTTCTCCAGGGAATGGCCCCTTCAACAACATGACCAAAGTAGGTGAGATGAAGTCTGGTCATTCTCACTTCCAAGAAGCATTCCAGCTGTACTTCTTCCAGGACAGATTTGTTCATCCTTCTGGCAGTCCAATGAATTTTCAGTATTCTTTGCTAATACCACAATTCAAAAGCATCAACTCTTCTTCAGTCTTCCTTATTCACTATCCAGTTTTCATATACATATGAGGCAACTGAAAATACCATGGTTTGGGTAAGGCGCACGTTGGTCTCCAAAGTGACATCTTTGCTCTTCAACACTTTAAAGAGGTCTTTTGTAGCAGATTTGTCCAGTGTATTATTAATGTCTCATTTCTTGACTGCTGCTTCCATGGGCGCTGATTGTTGATCCAAGTAACGTGAAATCTCTAACAATTTCAATCTTTTCTCCATTTATCATGATGCTACTTATTGGTCTAATTGTAAGGATTTTCATTTTCTTTATGGTGAGGTGTAATCCATACTGCAGATTGCAGTCTTTGATCTTCATCATTAAGTGCTTCAAGTCATCTTCACTTTCAGCAAGCAAGGTTGTGTCGTATGCATACTGCAGTATATGAATGAGTTTTCCTCCAATCCTGATGGTGCACTGTTCTTCATACAGTCCAGCTGCTTGGATTATTTGCTCAATATAGTGCCTACTTTGACTGCTAGCCAGAAGGCTGGCTGTTCAAACCCACCAGCCACTCCTTGGAAGAAAGATTGGGTGATCTACTTCCATAGTGATACTGCCTTGGAAACCCAAGGAGGGGTCACTAGGAGTGGGATCCGACTTGTTCGCAGTGAGTTTGCTTTGTTTTTTGGGTGACACAGATTGAAGAAGTATGCCCTGAGGTACACTATTCCTGATTTTAAACCATGCAGTACCCCCCACACATACACTTTTTTTTATTGTTATTTAGAGCATGTATCTGCTACAGTTACAATAATTACACTGTTACAACTACAACAGATATATGCTCTAAATAAAAAGACAAAACAGCCTTAAAATTCAAGTATAATAGGAGTCTGAAGTACAGAAATAGATAGCTTTACACACCCAAATCAGACTTAAAAAGTTGCCCAAAGTTCCTTTCAACACTCATCTTGCTGTATAATAGCTATCTTTCTCTAAACATTTTTTTGCAAACAAATCTAACAAAACTGGTTACTTAAGCAAAACCTGACAGTAAAAGGACTTTGGAAGTTATTTTTCTGTTTCAGCCCAATTCAGCACTACTATTTTTAGGAGCCATAGAGCATTTAGACTTAAAATTAGTAAGTATACACATTCTCCTCAAGAACTCAACATGGTTTTTGTTTGTTTTCAATTAAAATTCATTAATCAGTATTCTATAAACAGTACTGTTTATTTAATTTCAAGTCTATCCACTCAAATGATCTGAATTCAGGTTTGGATCACTGTTTGTAGGGTCAGCAGTTTGGGTAACATGGACTACAAGCTTATTAGTTTTTCATTTGGCCAATAAATACATATATGTACATGCCGTGCAAGGAAATTTTAAAAACATGCCACACAATTTCTGGCCTTAAAAAAGTCAGAATCTAGAAGAAAAACGTAAACTCTTTGTTCTGGTTACCTAGTGCCGCTCTGACAAGAATATACCACAAATGGGATGGCCTTAACAAACAGGAGTTTATTCTCTTACAGTTTGGAGGCTTTAAGCCAAAGTTTAAAGTGCCAGGCTCTAGGGACTGGGTGAAAGCCCCTCAACCCAGGGGTTCAGCTCTGCCTCCTGCTCCCAGCCCACTGGAGCTAGAGGCTTTTCTTACTCAGACAGCTGCTAGCTACTGAGACTGACAAGCCCAAGCTTGATAAATAAAAAGGCAGAGTCCCAATGTTACCAAACCACATGGCAGGCCATTAACTCAATCCACTGTGCAGGCTACTGAACAATGACATGGCTATATGCAGGGTCCAAGCATGTCATATGCTAGGGACCATTCCCCAAGGCTTCTTATATGTAGGAAGCAGACCATAACCCTAAGGCAGCTACTCAGCTGCTCACAGTAGATTCCACCATGGAGTTGATTACCAGTCTCATCATGGGGAATAATACCAGCAGCTGCCCAGTTACTCAATCAGGCCCAGCCAAGTTGACACACAAACGTAATACCACAATTCCACACCTTGTCAACTTGGCACCTGTACAGATCTCCTCCACTGGGTGGCTCTAGTCCCCTAGTTCCTGAGTAACGACCTCACCCCACTGGCCTGGCGGGCCCCGTTTTTCTACCTCTTGGGTATGGCAGCCCTGCCCCCTCACTCTTGGGCGGCAGCTATGGCCCCATCCCACTGACTCACATGAACTGCAGCCACACACTCCAAAACCAAGTTGGTGAAGGTCTAACTCTTTAAAACCTAGAGGGCTATGGTGGTTCCACCCCCAGAGGCCATGGTCCTACCCTTTGAGGCTGAGGCAGCTCTGCTTCCCATTTCCTTGGTCTCTCTGATCCTGCCAATTAATGCTGAAGGCAACCTACTCTGCAGGAAATCGTCCTGCCCTAAAAGCACCCAGCTTTCTTGCTCCGTGGGCTGACCAACCTGCTACTCCATTTCATGCCAGTCTCTTTTACCAGTTAATGCCTAAAGGCAACCCACTCCACCAGGAAACCACCTAACCAATGGCACCCGGCTTTCTCCTCCATGGGCTGGTAAGCCTGTTCCTGTTTAATGCCGGTCTCTGGGCTCTGCTACTGC